CAGAGTTCTAGGCTACATAGAGGGATAGAATCAAGATCACGTGAAGTGTTAATACCATTTTATAATGCCTTGGTAAGGCCACACTTGGAATACAGCATTCAGTTTTGGTCGGCAAGATGTAGAAAAGATGTGGAGACTTTAGAAAGAGTGCAAAGACCAACAAAGATGATTAGGGGACTGGAGACCAAAACATATGAAGAACAGTTGCAGGAACTGGATATGTGTAGTTTAATGAAAAGAAGGACTAAGGGAGACATGATAGCAGTGTTCCAATATCTCAGGGGTTGCAACAAAGAAGAGGGAGTCAAACTATTCTCCAAGGCACCTGAGGGCAGAACAAGAAGCAATGGGTGGAAATTAATCAAGGAGAGATGCAACTTAGAACTGACGAGAAATTTCCTAACAGTTAGAACAATTAATCAGTGGAACAGCTTGCCTCCAGAAGTTGTGAATGCCCCAACACTGGAAGTCTTTAAGATGTTAGATAGCCATAGTCTGGAAAGGTATAGGGTTTCCTGCCTAGGGGTTGGACTAGAAGACCTCCAAGGTCCCTTCCAACTCTGCTATTGTATTGTAATTCCAGGACATTAATTATATACTTATAAAAAATTAGAATATTTAAGTGGATTCCCCAGCGTCTATATCTTCTAGAAGGATAAAGTGAAATTGTATTGGACCATTTTTAGACAAACTAACTGTATAGTTCAAATACGAAATGGCTGCTAATTGTTGATATGAGGAAGCTAATAATATGTATACGTTGTTAATTCATTATTTAATATAGTTTGTATATTTAAAAAAGCAAAATATACCATATTTTTCGGCGTATAAGACACACCTTTTTTCCTCAAAAGAGACTGAAAATCTGGGTGTGTCTTATATATTGAATACAGCATTTTTTGCCTCCTGAAGCCCCGCCTCTTCACCAAAATGGCTGTGCATAGCCTTATGGAGGCTTTCAGAGAGCTCCTGGGGGCTGGGGAGGGCAGAAATGAGCAAAAAATGGCCCGTTTTTTGCCCCCCAGCCCCCAGGAGCTCTGCAAGCCTCCATAAGGGAATGCACGGCCATTTTGGTGAAGGGGCGGGGCTTCTGGAGGCAAAAAATGCTGTATTCGATGTATAAGGTATATTCATGCCTTTTTTTAAAAAACGGGCCTGTTTTTGCGAAAAACGGCCTGTTTTTGGGAGGTTTGCAGAGTGCAAAAACTTTCCCCCCCCCTTTCGGAAAGCTCTTTAACTAATTGATGAGAATTAGATTGATCAAGTGCTGTGCCTGCAGAAACAAAGTCTTGGGTGCTGCAGTTTGTTAGCGATTTCCTTCTCTAGCACATGGATAAACACACCTGGAAACATCTCCCTACCTACCTACTCTCTCCCTCCCTACTATCCACTGTATTTCTCTCTCTCTCTCTCACTTTATCTACCTACCTACCTACCTACCTAACTACTCTCTATCTCTCCCTACCTACCTACTCACTCTCTCTCTCTCTCCCCCCCCCCTCTCCCCCTCTATATACCTACCTATTTTTTCTTTAATTTGCCTCTTCAAAACCTTGGTACGTCTTATACTCCGGTGCGTCTTTTACTCCAAAAAATACGGTAAATATTTTAACTAAGTAAATGTTTATTTGAAACAGAAAAAAGTGCTCCAGACACTAAAAACTTCTGATATCAATATAATCATATGATCACTTCCTCATGTTTCAACTAATTTTTCAAAAGTTATACTAGTTACTTGTGTTTTCAAATGATATTCATGTTTCACTGAAACTTTAGGAGTCCGCTTTTCATATAATCCCCCTTTTTAGCATTTTTTTATTGCTTTCACATTACCATTACAAAAAGGTTCTAGATAAATTTGGTGATAACCAGCACATGTTAAAAAGTTAGACATTATATTTTGGAAATTACATTCATTTGAACAATGATAAAACACAACTTAGGGAAGAAAATTGTGTAAGCTATATGTGGAAATTGAAGACCACAAAATCTGTGGATAAAACTACAAGGAAATATTTAATCTCTCCTGGTTTTTTTTTTAATGATCTAAACACATCTTGCAATGTTTTGACAGCTGTGTTGTGAGAAGATGCTCTAGTTGGAATTTGTACCAAAGCCAGATATTGATAAATATTGATAATATTTATGAAAATTAGCATTATTTGAAGCACTGGGATATTCGTATGTTCACCTGTTTCCACTTTATTATTCTGGAAGGATTTAATTTGTGCAGACCAAAAAAAAGGAATCTTTTACTATCCTATTAATAATGTGTATTCTGTACTTCATTGCCAAAGTCCCAGCCTTCCACTTATAGTTTTGAAATGCCCTTGCATCCCTGTTCTCAGTTCTAAGTAGTAAAGACTCTAGGGAAAAGCAGGAGTGTTTTTGTAACATATTTCCCAGCTGTTGTATCATTTTAATTATGTTTTAAGGAAACTGAACTAATATTAACCATGAGAGACTTAGTTACATGTAACAACACTCACCTGATGGAAGAGAGGGCTGTGTGTAACTGGAATTCCTAAACCATTGAAGCACATTCCAATTACCATATCATCAGGGGCATCATTGCTGTAGCACCGGCATTTGCTCGCAAACAGTTTTTGGACTGCTTCTCTATTGAAGACCATTCTTTTCAGGCAAATCCAAAAAGAAATTAACAATCAAGAAGATAAGCATTATTATTGAATTAAAAGTTTTACCTACTAACATCAATTATGCATTCATAGCAGTCATTGTAAAACAGATTACTACTGCTCTGGTCTCCTAATGAAATCATAATGCTCTATGTCAGTGATGGCAAGCCTTTTTCTTACGGAGCGGCAAAATTGTGTGTGCGCACACTATTGCGTGCGCACACTATTGCGTGCGCACACTATTGCATGCGCACACTATTGCGTGCGCACACTATTGCATGCGCACACTATTGCGTGCGCACACTATTGCGTGCACACACATGCCTGCACCAATTCAATCCTCCACGCGCACCTGCACATGCGTGCATGACACCCCCCCACATCTATGCACATCCCCTCCCCAAGCTCCGGAGGCTTTACTGAAGCCTGGGGAGGGCAAAAAATGGCTGGGCCATGGCCTCAATGGCCCAACCGGAAGTTAGGGAACAAATTTCTGGTTGGCCCGGAGGCTTTCTTGAAGCCTTTCTTGAAGCCTGGGGAGGGCAAAAAATGCCTTCCCCGACCCTCTAGAGGGGCGAAAAATCAGCTAGCTGGCGCACCAGAGTTGATGGCTGGGTTGCCAGTGAATATGACTCCGCATGCCACCTGTGGCACATGTGCCATACGTTCGCCATCACACCTCTGTTCTTCCATGTCTCTCGTAATATCAACATAACCTAATGGCTATCTTTAGTTTTATTGACAGTAGAATCTGTTTTAGGATTATTGACAAATTAGATGCTCAATCATATACCACTTACAAATACAACTCAACTGAAAAAAAACCCCAATATCTTTCACAATACAACAAGGTTAAAAAGAGAAGCCAGTAACTCTTGTTTTATTATCTGTAGGTCACTGACATTAAGCCAGTATTTTTAAAAGTCTGTCAACTTTCTTATTTGGACTAAGCCATGGATATTTTAGAAAAATCATGTAATAGCCTCGCCCCCACATACCTTTCACAGAAAGTATTCTACAGCTACAGTCTTCTAGTCTTTCGGGGAAGAGGCCCTTCAAATATACAGCTTTGATAAATCAGAAATGATCTCAAACTTTACTCACGGTGCTTTGAATTTATTTTTGCTATTTTGCTATTTATCTACTGAAACGCTACTGTAAGTTACCATATTGCTATTTACAAAGTGAGGACACTTTTATATTTTATATTCTTGTAAAAATTCTATGACAACAGGACTATAAAATTATCATTCTTAGTGGCAGAGACTGATACAAGAAGAAATCTATCCATCATGAAAGCTACTGAAGTTATTGTTCTTATGTATCTTTACTCCTTTGAATAATTTAAATGACTTACCCTCCTCCACCAGTAATGTAACTATAGCCTCCTGATCCCAAACCATAGCCATAGCGTTCCCCGAGAACCACTGGCTCACTTAAGTCATAGCAACTGAGTAATTTCTGGAGCCTAGAGATGCTAGAACAAAAACCACATAGTGAAATATCATCATATTTAATTACCATACTTTAAAAAAAATCCCAAACCCTGAAGCTATCAGCTTAAGCAATCACATGTACATTGCTGAAACGGAATATTTAAGAGAATGTCTTTTGAATATTTAAAACATTTTCAGTAGTTACTTTTTTAAAAAAAACCTCTTTGCTTCTCAACAATCTATATAATCATCAAATATTACTATAAAAATAATAAGTTTCTCTGTCATACTTTTTGGGACTTTTCTTTAATATAAAGGCCTATAACCTTGTTCCCTCCTAATTTTATGATTCCTAAAGCAAAAGTTATTTTTATAAAACTCTTGTATCAGGCTGAATAATTTAACTTATTTCTACAATTACACCCCCACTGGGAAAAATGACAAAATTCACAGTTGATGCCTGTAGCAAATCATGACGATGATGATGATGATGATGTGTGCTCATCTGTGATTGTAATAAAGATCTGTTTCGATGGTTCCATGATCATAACACTTATGTTGCCTGTCACCTGATGCAAGTACTTGAATTGTAATATTCCCATTGTAAATTCATGATATGCATTTCAACATTTGCCCCAACGGTGGATGGCACTTACCTTCACTACCAGTTCGCTGATCACGTAACCAGCTGATTTTTGGGGATCACACAGGTGCTATACGTTGTGCACGCATGTGCAATTTGCCTTTTGCCATAAAAACAGGTATAGACGCGGGCGGGTAGGTCGGCTAAAAGAGCCACCATACCGGTTCACTCTCAGCTGCTCTGGCTGAACTGGGCCAGACTGGCAGCAACCCACCTCTGATTTGCCCCTTTCACAAAGGTCTATATCCAAATCTTGGTTATCTAATTACAGAATAAAGATTTTTCAGCACTGATCGCCCATATCCATGAGCTATTATACTTAGGGAACTTCCCATATGGAATTTCTCGGTAATCTTTGGTTTTGTTGGCAGCTCTCATTCAATTCTGGACGCGGTCATTCTCTTCCTGAGAGGCAGGCCCATGGACTCTTGGTTCCTCCTGAACATATAATCCTTCTGGAGCAACAGTTAGAGTAACTGGCCAGTTTTGGCTGGTTTGCCAAATACTGCACTTTTTAGAGCAGAAGGCTTTAGTGACAGTTACTCCTGGCTTTATTATTTCATTGTTGTGATAAGTACCACCCAGGGCTGTCCATGAAAATAACCTGGACACTATTGTTGGTATGAAATGCCATGAACCAAACTGACATTTTAGTAACACTTCAATAGTTTTGTTTCCAAGTTCAATTCAAGTTTCAAGGTGCTAATATTATTCTATAAACGGGGTCATTTATATCCTGCTTACCCATGGTTAGAATCTTTGTTTTTATTTATTACTATGATTTGTTTTAGATTTTTATGTTTTATATTGGTTGTTTTATTTATTGTCATGCACTGTCCAGAATCACCTTTGGTGAAATGGGTATCTATATAAATTTGATTAATAAATAAATAAATAAAGTTGTATATTATGTAGTACCTGATTTTCTATTGGACTGTCTCCCTTGAAAAGGAATCTGCCTATTCTGTTTCACCCACTTGAATAGGGAAGCTACAAGTGCCTACCCTTGGATGGGGAAAAACACAAAAGCAGACACAGAACCACTTCACAAGGGCATGGCACAAATTAGGAGATCAAACCCTGCAGGACAAGATTCAATGGTCCATCTACATTTGAAAGACAAAGGGCAGTCTTCTGAAGACAGCAAAATCCACATTTTGGATATAGAGGATCACTGGTTTGAAAAGAGGTAAATTGGACCTTAAGAAAGGCTGAGCGCCAAAGAATTGAGGCCTTTGAACTATGGTGCTGGAGAAGACTCCTGCGAGTCCCTTGGACTGCAAGGTGATCAAACCGGTCAGTCCCAGAGGAGATCAACCCTGATTGCTTTTTAGAAGGTCAGATCCTGAAGATGAAACTGAAATACTTTGGCCACCTAATAAGGAAGGACTTCACTGGAGAAGAGCTAATGCTGGGAAAGATTGAGGGCAAAAGAAGAATGGGATGACAGAGAACGAGATGGCTGGATGGAGTCACCGAAGCAGTAGGTGTGATCTTAAATGGACTCCAGAGAATGGTAGAGTTCAGTAAGGCCTGGAGGAACTTCGTCCATGGGGTTGTGATGGGTCGGACATGACTTCACAATTAACAACACCAAATTAAGTCCCTTCAACAGAGTGGGATGGATAAGACACCACCTATCTCCAGTCTACAACACAGATTCTGCAGCAGTTCCAAGAAGATTCCACAACCAATTGCACTCTGATTCCGGTGACCCTGAGGGCAAAGATAAACTCCCAAGTGGCCTCATGGGCTTTCAGAGAGAGTGCTAAGGATCAGATGACTGCAAAGGGATATAATCTATCCATCCTCCCCACCCCTTCCCACCATCCAGTCAGAACCTATTCTTCCATCTTCCCACCATCAATTGTTAGTACCCTTCCATTCCACCCGGCCCCCAAACATCAGAATTGAAGAAGCTTCTTGGATGAGAAGCGAAACTTTTCTTCTTCTTCCTCAAGGAAAAAAACAGCTGTGTTACTTTTGAAAAAGCACCTTTGAGACAATTATGACCTGGATGACTGAGAAGCTCCATAGACACAGAAGCAGACCTTTTTAATGTTTGGCTGTTACCAAAAATTTATATTGCTTGTGCTTTGGAGAGTAGCAAATGCATTGCTGTTCCTTATAGTGTTTGGAGGATGAATATCTTGTTGCATAAGGTCATTTCTAACATTGCTCTTTAATTTTAGCATTTGATGTCAAATCTGAAATGTTTAATTATTGGTTTGAATGATTATTTATGATGATCATTTTTTGGAGTCTTTGGAAATTGGTGGGATATTAATTTTTGGAATATATACTATATTGCATTTTTCAATAGATATAATATATGTACCAAGATAAATAGCAAGTGGGTATAGTTTTATTTTTAATTTAATCACTCTGCTCTAGTAATATAGACTAGCCTTTAAATTATGCAGAAGAGAGGTCTGGGTGAATTTATATGATATAATTACATTTATATTCAAGTGTGATGTACATAAGGATATTTGGCATCAAACAGTGACATTTTAATTACTTCTGCAGAAGTGCTGGCTGTGTGATTAACTTTCCAGTGATGCTGTTGCCAATATGGAACATGAAATATAAGCTATCATAGATCAGCAAAAGCTGCATATTCCAAATACCAAAAAAAAGCATGCCTAAATGGATTTTTGTAATGTTCTATCTGTTTGGCATCAGTTAATTCATTTACACATCAGTAAATATTAGACTATTGCTTCACTAGTTAAAGAAAAAAAACTATCTGAAATCTGAAAGTGAGAACTTTACACATCATATGACCTCTTTTGTTGCCAAAAATGGTATATGTACACTCTTTCCTATGTTCCCAATGCAATAATTGCTCCTTAGTACTTTTCCAAATGTAGCTATTCAAAAAGAATATAATCACTATGTGAAGATTTTTCTTTAAACATTGTGAACATTAATTTTTAAAATGTAGTACAATGATGGTGGGATTTCCGTATTTGCTTTAGATAGTGAGATGGGTGAGATGGGTACATATATATTAAATAAAATAAATAAATAAATAAATAATATTGTGTAGACTATGTAAAAATAATTCTTAGTACTGAAAATGAATTACATTTTACATCTACAGTGGGGCAAAAAAGTATTTAGTCAGGCACCAATTGTGAAAGTTCTCCCACTTAAAAAGATGAGAGAGGCCTGTAATTGACATCATAGGTAAACCTCAAATATGAGAGACAAAATGAGAAACCAGATCCAATCACATTGTCTGATTTTGAAAGAATTTTTTTGCACATTATGGTGGAAAATAAGTATTTGGTCAATATCAAAAGTTCATCTCAATACTTTGTTATATATTCTTTGTTGGCAATGAAAGAGGTTAAACGTTTTCTGTAAGTCTTCACAAGGTTGCCACACATTGTTGCTGGTATGTTGGCCCATTCCTCCATGCAGATTCCTCTAGAGCAGTGATGTTTTGTCGCTGTCGCTGGGCAACACGGACTTTCAACTCCCTCCAAAGGTTTTCTATGGGGTTGAGATCTGGAGACTGGCTAGCCAC